ACACAATCATTACCATTAAGAGATAATTTGCAGTGCATAGGAGAGTAGGAAATTTAAAACTATATATTCAAGCTATAGCACATTCAGTCTCCAATGAACAATAAATATAGTAAGATCTGCAAACAAACCTACTGGCTGATCATACAGGGGTTTTGTACTTATATTTTATGTACTTTTGTCTGTCAAGAGCTTCTATTAGGAGGAAGCATGAATGTTAACACCTCAGGGTCTCATTTTGATTTTAGATAACCCTGAATTTAAGTCTGATACATACTGGCTTTAATTGTGAATAACTTGTTGAGCTTCTTTGTTGCATTGTTGCTTTTTTCCACTTATCTGGGATATCAAACTAGTGAACTCTACCATGCCTTGAGCTTAAATATTTAAAGGCATTATTATATAGACAAAAGGTATAAACCATAAATACCCGCTTTCTTCTCACTTCATATCCTTTTCCCCTATTAAACTGAGCGAGGTGACTGGTAGTTACTTTTAATAAAAGTTGATAATACTACACGAGGCTTTTGAAAAGGTATTTTTTTGATGGGACACATGTTTTAACGAACTGACTCATATTTATATCAATATAAAATATGAGGTAGCTCATATTTATATCATTACATAAAAACCTACTAAATTTCTATCATATACCTTTGTGGAGATATATTTAAACTGTTTTGCTGCCAGAGAAGGAAGAATATAATATACTTTAGGTTTTTCTAAAATGCACATTCCAACATAGCAAACCTATTTGTTTATGCTTATTTTCTAGTAACCATGGATTCATGACCTAAGGTAGTTGAAACCCACTGGTAAAAATATTTATGAGTTATTTTGAGAAAGCACCTTGCTTGTCCTACAACTTGAAGTACAGTGAAGCCTGACTCACAGCGGTAAAGTGAGCAATAGACTCACAGAATGAGAAAGGAAGGTGGAAGATGATCAGGAAGTCTACAGTTAATGATCTATCCATAAATTAGGGAAATATTATTTAAGGTCAAATGTTAAAAATGTGCAATGTTGGCTTCTTACAGATTTTAATGCATAGTTATTAATCAGTTGGTTACAAATTAAAAAATAAAGTCACCAGTGATCAAGTATTTTATTACCTTGGTATATAATAATCCTTCTGTAATACCAGAATGGTATTTTAGTAATAGATCCTAACTTTGCTTCATAATATCTTGAATATCTTAACCCTGTCATTCTCAAGAGGAAGAAATATGTTCATCAGTAACTTTATGCAGTCAAAGAATTATCTTTAATTAATGTGACTATATTAAAATAAATGTTCTAGGGTGACATTCTTATCTCAGTCTTCTAATGTTACTGTAAAAGCAACAAAATTCTATCAGAGAACACTCTCAACACACACACACACACACACACACACACAGACACACACACAGACACACACCCACACACACACACACACACACACACACAGAAAGCTCACAAAGGGAATACTTTCTTCTACAGTGGAGCATTTCTGGAAGGGCCCAAATTAAGTGCTTGGAAGCTAACCAAGAGCTGGTGGTTGGAATTCATCAAGCACTCCTGGGGAGAGAGACAAGACAAGTTACCTCCAGAATTACAGCCTTTGAAACACTGAGTCCTACAGAGTCACCATGAGTTTGAATCAACTTGAGGAAAATGGGCTTGAGTTTTGAAACCTATTTATATCATTGGATATAAAGCTATTCTGGGATCTATTCATCTCACGGGTTCAAAGATGTGTTAAAAAAAAAATCCCAAACAAACCGCCCCCCCAAAACAAACAAACAAACAAAAAACCCAACTAAAAACCAAAACAAAACAAAAAAGATATGTTCTGATTTAATTTTCAACATTTATGCAAGGGAATTACTATGCATGAAACACTGACATATGTAATGTGCCAGGTGACACTGTATTCATATTATCAAGTGCTCTAAAGAAACACTGGCAGCCTAGTGGCAAGAAGCTGCTCTGCAATCTCAAAGGCATGCAGTTTGAGGCCACCAGCTGCTCCATGGGAGAAGGATGAGCAATTTTCTTCCATGGGATTAACTGCCTCTGAAAAACCACCAGGTCAGTTATGGGTTGGTTCTGATTTAATGGTACACAACAACAACAACAACTAAAGAAACAATTTCTATTTATTTTGTTAAAATATAACTGGTGTTTAAAATAAACTATTAATGAAGACAATAAAGAGCAAAATAACTGTGAAATGATTTTTACTTGACAAGAAACTCAGCATGAAGTAAATACATCTCCTTCCAAGGAAGGGAAAAAAGGTGTAAAAGTTAAGGTCACTGAAAGGCATCAACCAATATGGCTTCATCAGCAGTTGATAAAAAGGTCATAGTGCAGTACTACAATGTCATTTATTTACCCCTGGAATCTGATATATGTATGAAGTGAAATGTGTTATGGTCAGAGAATTCAATAAAATTTTTGAAATTTTTGAAGTTTGAGAGGTACTATAAATATTATGATCTTGCATTCCTTATGACAAGTTAGAGCTAAATACAAAAGTACTAATTGCTGTTAGGTGCCATCAAGTTGCTTGCAACTCATAGCAATCCTATGTACAACGGCTCAGAACCCTGCTCTATACTGACCCAACATTATTATTTGACACAACTATCCCCATTGCCCCACTCACTGAGTCAATCCATCTCATACAGGGTCTACCTCTCCTGTGCTGCACCCCTTCACTTTCCCAAGCATGATGCCCCCCTCTCTAAAAACTGGTCCTTCTGCACATGCACAAAGCATGTCAGACGGAGCTTCAGAATCCTTGCCTCCAAAGAGCAGCCTGGTTTCACTCTCTCTAGGACAAACTTGTTTGTTCTCCTAGTACTAGTAATATGAAAATATAATCTTAAGAAAAGGCCACGGCCATTAGGTTGACTGGGATTTATAGCAACCCTGCATCTAATTTCCAAGTATATAAGTCTTTATGGGTGAAAAAGACTGTCTATCTTCTTCCAATGAGTAGCTAGTGGATTTGAAATGCTGACCTTCTAGTTAGCAGCCCGAAGAATTACTCACTGTACTACCAGGTTTCCTTAATAGATAATTTAACAAGAGAAACAAATAAAAACAGCCATACACCCACCACATATTCCCTGGTTTTTCTATTTCTGATTTTGGCACATCTTCTTCTTTCTTTTAATCTGAAAACTACAAGTAATTCTTCATTTTCTTAAAAAATGTTAAACAAAACATAGAATTTTAAATAGCCTCCTAAATGAGTCATTCGCTTAGACTGTACATAAATCTTATGCATTTACAAATAAAATCTATTACAAAACTATTACAAAAGCTTCATACACAGAATGCATTCACACCAAATAAAAATGGCACCTATTTCTACTGCAATATAAAAGTGAAAGGCAAATACCCTTTGACATCTTAAGAGTAACAACATTTCAATAATCAATCACTAAATGTTTATTAGTTACAATCTTAAAGTTCATATTTGTAACTGTAAGTAGTCATCATTTGAGCCATAATGCACAACTTACTACTTGTTTGAAACTACTTACTCTTCAAATGATTCAGTACTGAAATCACAGGCCTAACATATATCTCTACATTCAAGAGTACTTTCAATTGCCATGTATGTTCACTGTAGTGGTAAAAAGAAAAAAAAAAAAACAACCCTGTTAACCTGGGCTTAAGTTTCTCGCTAACATGATACCAACTGTAGCTATGTTCCTAAGCCATACAGCCTCCATGGCTAACGGCCTTGAAAAGTCCCCTGGCTCAGTTACACTCACAGGCAACAGAAAGTTGGATCACTAGAGGGCAGACTCTTCAGGTGCTGCCATTCTTATCGATAATAGGAAGAATTACTAGTGGATGAGTAAAGGGCCCGTTTGTTGTTGTTATTTTTTTTGCTTTTGCAATCTATGGCAGGGAGGAAGTTGACGGAGCTGACATAGGGGTCACTGAAACTGCCTCCAGTGTTAACCATTTTTTGCTCATCTTCTAATCACCTATACGTGCAGAGGGAAAGTAGCATTCGGCTTTTTTATATTAATGTAACCTGGATTCTGGTATAGTCCATAATAAATCTATCACTGAGATGGGTAAGTCTGGATGGAGGTGTAATGAAAAGAAATTCTCAGTCTTTATTTCTGGAATACAAGCCAAATTTGTTTTACAATTCATGAACACAGTGAGTCAATGGACTTTTTTAGCTCGATTTAGATATTAGGTAAGATTCCTGAATTTATGAATATGAGACATCAGGTTCTAATGATTTCCTCATAGAAAATCATCTTCGTGGATCAGTCAAGTTCCACATCATCCAGAAACAATGGTTCAAGAGGGAGTATGGTTTCTTATAACTTATTTGAAAAATACAAACATTTTATCTATAGTAGTCAGTAGCATTTTCTAAGATCACAAATATTTCGACGCATGTTCTTCTCATTAAAACGCACACTTTAAGATAGTGTGCAGGTACATTTTTGTTGATGCTGTTCCCATCATGTATTTAATTTTTTAAAAAAGCAAAACTATAATGAAAACAAATTTTTGAACATTTTTGTCTTTTGTACTGCAGATAATCTGTGTGTGCACCTGTGTATGAGAATACGGGTGAGTATGGGGAAGATTAATTTACCATAAATTTGATTCTGTATTTTAATATAAAATAAAGTGAAACATCGAGAAATTGAATATTCATTAACAAGGTATTTAATATTTGACTTCTTTATGACCAAAATTACCAGTTATTGGAAGACTTTAACATGAATATATTAATCATAATACTCAAAGTAAGCTCACAGCATGGATTCTTTATATGAATCATCTCAAAATTTATCTGCCTAAATAAAAAATAAGACTTATGTAATACATTTAAAATTAACTACTGAAGAACATCTCATCTCCTTCTACAATTTTAAGTCCTCATTTCAATTAAAAAGCAACCTTTCCAACACTTGGAGAAAAAAATAAAAACTCCTAAGAAACAAACACTGAAATCAGAGATGTAACTCTTCTTAAAAATTCGTTTCTCTTTCTGAGAGCATACTCAATGTGTTTGAAATTTTGGCACTATCATCCTGCAATGACTTGCTCAAGGGCTCAGAGTCACCAGACTCAAGTTGACATATTTTCTTCTGCCTGTCCTCTTCCTCCCTCTTTTCCTTGTCGAGCAATTTATAGTTTATAGCATTGCCAATGAGCAACCACACGCTGGCGATGACCACAACACTCCCGCAGGCCATATACATGTATTTGTATTCTCCAGTTTCATCCACCAATTTACCTAAGAGACAAAGAAAGTAAAAGGTTAACAATTTCCAAATTAATTCCTTGCCACACAAAATGTATAACTATTTCTTATTGAAATGAAAATTAGTCTTTTAACAAAGGGAAATCTATTGTAGATTTACATTATATTACAATATATTCTAGATTTACAAGTAAAAAAAATACACTTAATAACTATAAGGAAGTTAGTATACATGCACATATATAATATTTATATAAATAATATTAAAAATAGCCTTGAGTACAATTAACAACAACACATAAACATGGGTATACTCCTATCAGTAATATCAGAATATATTCTTTGGCAATGTGACATGTTCCATAATAATATGATGTCATCAATACATTCATTGAAAATATTTCAGAAGGATTGTTTTAGAATTTTTATTTAATATAAGCAGAAAATAAATAAAATGGCATTTTATTCTTATGGGACTTTTAAAAAGCCCAAAATAACTAGTTACTGTTGTTGTTGTTATGTGCCATCAAGTCGTTTGCGACTCATAGTGACCCTATGTACAACAGTCCTAAACCCTGCTCTATCCTGTGCCAGTCTCATTGCCTCTGACAAACCCATCCCGAGTACCCCAGTCACTGAATCAATCCACCTCATAGAGGGTCTTCCCCTCCCGCGCTGTCCCTCCACTCTACCCAGCATGATGTCCCTCTCTAAAGACCTGTAATAAGTAGTTAAATATCCTGAAAAAGAAATGCTTATTTAACTTAAATTTAAACAACAGCTAGTTTTGAAAGGTTAAAAAAGATAATGAAATACAAAATAGCAGGCCTGCAGTCACTAAAGCTATTACTATTTTTCAACATTATTCACGGCAAAGAACATGCTTAGTGAATAAATATTGACTGCAATTGTTTCTGCTTTTCTTAAATGAGAACTATTCTTACCAGCAAGTGGAGGGCCAAGTAGAACTGGGCAGCATTCTATAATTGTGACGAGTCCCACGGCACTGGAAAACCTCGAGGCACCAACAAGGTCCATGAGAGTTTCAAAGAGGACAGCACTAACACTCCCGAATCCCAGGCCAAAGAATACAGCATACACCACCAGGCTTGTGTAGTCCTCTGCCAGCGGGCAGAGGAGATGGCAGATTCCATTGAACATGATTGCAAAACTGAAGAAGTATTGGATTCGGGGACGGATAAACCTGGAGTTTACAATGAATCCTACAGAAGGCCTAGCAAACATATCAACAAAAGCCATAACAGACAGCAAAAAAGCTGCAGAATACTCATCAATTCCTTTGTCCTTAGCATATGGAGCCAAGAATATGACAGGGGCAAAAAATCCAAAAAACATAATAACATTTCCAGATAGGTATATAAGAAAGCCTCTATGCTTAAAAAGAGAGAAATCTAAGTATTTACTCAATCTTTCAAAAATGGATTTCTTCTTATGGCTCTTCTGCACAGATGACTCATCCTCTTTTATTCCAGTCTTATTTTCAGACTTGATTTTAGCTGGTGTGGGCCCAACAGGTCGCATGAGAGATCCAGCCACACAGGCATTCAAAAGTATAGCCCCCAAAATCAAGAAGCTTCCTTTCCAGCCAAAATTATTAAAAAGAAACTGATTAAAAGGAGCCAATGTACTTAAGAAAACAGGGCTTCCTGCCATGGCCAATCCATTCGCCATGGGTCTCTTCTTAAAGAAGTATTTGCCAATGATCGTCAAGGCAGGTTGCAGGTTGAAGGCTAAACCTAAACCTAAAGAAAACAAACAAAAAAGACCCCCACAAACACATTATGTCACTTACAAAAGACAATCAATTGTTAAGACTAAACTAAAAATAAAACTGCAGGTAATAATTTGTGAGGACTATAGTTATGAGTTGGGAGCTCTGCTGGCCTACTGAAAGGAGACTGAAGGAGTTGCACTGCCAACCAACAGGTTTAAATCCACCAGCTGCTCCAGGGGAGAAGATGGACAATCTCCTCTCTTGCAATTTACAGGTTCTCAATACCCTTTGGGATTCAATGACACAGAACAACATCGCTATGGTTTTGACTCGATGGCAGTGATTTTGAGTTCCAAACAGAAATGAATTACACAAAAATTTCTTCCTAACTGGCCACATGAAAAGGATATCTCATGGTAATTTAATTTTAAACCACAGAAATAGACCAACATCCTCTATTGATAATCAGAGTAACAAAAAAAATAATAAAAACTAAGTCAAACTACAGCAAAATTATTCGTCCATAATTGAAATATTTTGATGCCACAAATCAACTAATTTATCTCAATATGTACTAACACACACATAAATACAGACTTATTCCTTATAGGTAACAATGCATTTGAAAGCTTTGTTTCACTTTCAGAGTAGAAAAATATAGCTAAACTAAAAAGATCGTCATTTCTTTCAACACCATCCAAGCAAATAATATATAAAAGACAAAGACATTTGTATCATTAATTTTATGTTTGACACTCTTGTACATATAGTCCATGTATTTAGATGTTAACTAAAAAGCAGAGAACAGTTCTGCTTGAAATAGACACTTATTAACACATTGCCGCAAATGACGGCAAAATGTGTTTCTAAGCACCGTCGTCAATTTAAAAGTGTGCAGAATGTGTTATAATTTTTAATATGAAGCAAAAGTTTGCATTGTTAGGGAAGTCGTAAGAAAGAGTACTTCTATCACAGTAGCTAACCTCATTGGTTAAATAAATAGTTGGTGGTTTGAACTTTACAGTTGCTCCCCTGAAGAAAAGATGTGGCTATCTGCTTCCAAACATATTTTATAAAAATGAGCTTTGAGAATCTTGTGGGCCAATTTTATTCTATTTTACAGGCTCACTCTAAGTCAGAGGCAATAGGAGGGAACTCTGAGGTTGTTAAACGTCTGCTCTGATAATAAAATTATCTCTTCAAGCTCACCAAAGACATATATTACCTTTCTTTATAACTTAAGCTAGGTACAATCTATAGAATTTTTCACTTAATAATTTATATAAAGAGATCTCTTCACCTAGAGGGTAAGGAGTTGCACTGTCACCCCAAAGGCAGGTAGTATAAATCCTACCAGCTGCTTCCTGGGAGAAAGATGAGCAATCCCTTTCTATGCTATTTGCTGTTGTAATGGTGTGTCTTTGAGTCAGGATCGACTCATAGCTGACCCTCTAGTGGGTTTTCAGAGGCAATGAATTGCATGCGAAGTTACTGCCATGAAGCAGCTAAAACTAAGTGCCTTTGGGATTGCAGCACATATTCCTACCACTAGGCTACCTCCCACTGGAGGGCCAGCTATGAATTAGTTTCAATTTGATGGCAATGACTGAATGAGCAAATTTATATAAGTTGAAAGAGTATAGCAAAATGGTTTATTACTAATTTCCGGAGACACAGAGTTTTGGGTACAAACATATATTCCAACTCTTTAATATATTTTCAAGAAATAGGATTAAACAATATACAAGCAGATAATGTTATGTCTATATAAAATTCACAACTATTTTTAAAAAGGGCAATGTTTACGTATGTATCTGGGGATGATATGGGAGAAATTAAATTCTTTATATAGTTATGTGTAATTGTTTTAAACGTATATAGATTTTTAATGGAACTCATTATTTAGGTTAATAAAAATAGATCTGACAAATCAATTTGACTCAATATTGGCACAAGACTTTATATGTGACATATATATGCATAGTCAGAAACAGCAAAATGATAATGTGATTTCAAAATATTTGTTATTAACTGCAATTATGTCTCACAGAACTTGTAAATTAGAATCATTTGCATAAGAAACATTAATCAGAACACAGAAAAATGTGCATCCAGAAAGCATTAACTTTTAGCAGTATTTATAACATATCACTAGTGAAAAATAAGATATTCTAAATGAGAAAAAGCAACCTTTTTAAAATCAACATCTTGAGATACTAGAAAATATCCACAATACTAACAACAAAACTCAAAGTTTTTTCTTCTTGACATTTATAGGATAAGACATAAATGGATTTTTTTTCTTGAAATTTGTTTGTCTGTTTTATAGCTAACATACTAGATTAAAATACTTTAAAAGTAGCACTTAATATAAAAACTAAATCGAAAAACAATCAAGTATTTTATGATTCTACTTCTGACATGGAAAACAACAGAAGAATTTTTTTTTAAAAGAAAACTTACCTACAATGATTCCCATAGTGATATAAAGCTCTATAACACTGGTGCAAAAAGAGGCAGACACCATTCCCAAACAGCACAGTAAACCTCCTGTTATCACCACTGGACGACTGCCATATTTATTCACCAAAACACTACTGATGGGACCTGAAGTGGAGAGAAGAGTAAGAAAGATTTCAGTTGCTAGGCTATTCAGTTTTACCTACTTCACACTTAAATCTACTTCACCAGAGTTACCTACAGAGCGCTGATGAGATAGTCCATAGGGAGTTGTCCTGCTAACTCAAGGGCTACACCTCTCAAGGGGTTCAAACCCATCAGTGGCTCAATAGGAGAATGATGGGTGATCTCTTCTCATGAAATTTATAGTCTTAAAAACCCAGTGGAGAGTCAGCCCTGAGTTGGTTCTGACTTAACAGTAATGGGTAAGTAAGTGACTCTTCACTTCTATTTTCTGGCTATGCAATATTTTATATACATGGCAAGTAAAAATTTTACTATCCACATAAGAATAAACTTTTTGTAGATAAATATCTAGTGCTTAATACTGGCAACTCAATGACACTTAACAACAATCACAACAACATTGGATAGAGAAACCATAAAGCTATATGGAAAATATGGTATCATCACTTTGTCCATGACATGACCTAACCTTAAAATTACACTTGGTGAGCTTTTAAATATATGTTTTTTTCTCCTTTATCCTCCTGTAAGTCTCTGTAAACGTTCATTAAAATTAATGAATAAATTTAAAAAATTACACTTGTTGAAACTCAAGAAGGACAGATTTCTGTTGCTAAGTTCATTCACTCATTTATTAAAGAAAAACTTAGGGAAGTCCACTTCACATGTGGTTTCCAAATAATCATGATGTTTAATAATTACTTATGTAAAAAAAATATAGACCTGCTGATGGCTATCTGAGCCCGTACCTAATTAGAATGTTATTGGCCATCAAAATGCTTTGTTCTATTTGTTTGTTCTAAAGAGGTTCTAAAGAGGGGTGGACAAGTGGTATGGTAAGGAAGAAGACAAATATCACACAACAGCTAAAATAAATTGATATGCTCACTAATTTCTTATGTCTATTTTACTATCTCAGTCAGTAATTTTAGTGTCAAGAATAGGAGCCACTTTCACAGCAGGTATGAAACTGTAGAGGATGTACAGAACTTCACTAGACAACAGTGTAATGATATCAACATTGCTTATTCAACTTATTCTTCTAACAGATAACAATCTGTAATGGCTATGGTTCCACAAGATGTATCAAAAAAGAATGCTTATTCTGGCAGAGAAACTTTTAAAAAGATTCTTATTTGTTGGTTGTATCCTTTGCTCTTTGAAGGTGGGGGTGGTGTTGTTATGTGCTGTTGAGTCGCTTGCGACTCATAGCATCCCTATGTACAACAGCCCTAAACTCTGCTCTGTCCTGTGCCAATCGCACTGTCTCTGACACTCCCATCCTGATTACCCCAGTCACTAAATCAATCCACCTCATAGAGGGCCTTCCTCTCCTGTGCTGTCCCTCCACCCTACCAAGCATGATGTCCTTCTCCAAGGACCGGTCTCTCCTTACAACATGTCCAAATTATGTTAGACGGAGCCTCAGAATCCTTGCCTCCAAGGAGCCACCCGGTTTAACCCTTTCCAGGATGAATCTGTTTGTTTTTCTAGCAGTCCATGGTACTCTCAATACTCTTCTCCAGCACCACAGCTCAAAGGCATCAATTCTCCTTCTATCCTCCTTTGTCATTGTCCAACTCTCTGATGCATAACAAGTGATTGCAAAGACTGTGGCCTGTATCAGACACATCTTAGATGTGTCCAGAGAGACACCATTGCTCTTTAGTACCTTGGAGAGGTCCCTAACAACAGACTTTCCCATTGCAATTTTTTTATTTCCTGGCTACTGTTGCCAAGAGTGTTGACCGTGGAGCCAAGCTGACTAAAGTTGTTAACAATCTCTTCACCATCCATCCTTATGCTGATCCTTTGAAGGTAGTAACCATTTATTGAATAATGTCTGCAATGTGAAATGTGCTAAGTCATGTACATGCATTACTGTATATGAGTTTCTATGATGTAATGTCATTTAACAGTTGATGAAAAGGAGGTTCCAAGTATTTTGTTCAATGTCACATCAAAATTAAGTGGTAGGATGAAGATGTGAACTTGTGTTCATCTGATTATGAAACCTGTACTTTTACTTGCTATGTAGAAAGAGCATGCTTGCAAACTTGCAAGTCAGCCCTGGGTTAGCATCTGGTAAGTCAGATTTTAGAAATGTTTATGCTATTCTCTAACTGATATGAGTGGCTCACTGCACCTAACCTACAAATAATGGGTTTTATCCTGTACACTGTTGTATCGAACACAAAATAATCAACACATTTGAGCTGTGGTGTTGAAGCAGAATACTAAATATCGGAGTGTCTGCCAAAAGAACAAACACATGTGTATTGGAGAAATTGCAACCAGTGTGTTCCTTGGAGGCAAAGACAGCAAAGCTTTGCCTCACATATTCTGGACATGTTGTTAGGAGAGGCTATTCCTTAGAAACCCTCTATGGATAGTTCTGCTCTGTTCTACAGTACTGTTGAGCTGAGATCCACTCCACTACCAAGTAGTGAGCTGAGTATGGGTTTTGGTCTGTGTGATTAATCCAGGAGAAATCTCTAAGAAGTTTGTACCTGGTTTCCTCTAGATTTCACTCTAAACACTGTTCTCTTTGATGATTTTGCTTTGTATCCTTCAGTGGAATATATCATAGACTTGACTATGTCTAGATGTTGTATCCCCAGTCCTGCCACTGGTCCTGGAGATTCCTGACCTAACTTACTATGCCATAGTTTCCTTTTGTTTATTCTAGAATTTTGTATGTAGATATAAACAGATGATTTTCTCTTAAATACACTTAATATGAGTTAGTAGATATAAACTAAGGTGCTCTGATAGGATAGTCATTGTGTACTACACTGCTAATCTAAAGATCAGTGGTTCAAATCTACCAGCTGCTTTGTGAGACAAAAATGGACAGTCTCCTCCTGTAAAGATTTACAGCTTTGAAAACTCAATAGAGGGTCCCTATAAGTTAAAAGTGGTTTATTCTTTCACATATTGTCATTTTGTTCTAGAGACACAAATTCACTGTGGTTCTTTTTCTTCTGTATATTGCATGAGCATCTGATAAATGCTGTAAGAAAATACAGTGTATGTTAGGTAATGAACACTTCATAAAATATGTTTGATCACTCTAAAACTATGAATTTGAATTGACTATCAATTTGGGCTATATAAAATTTTTATGCATAGCATAAACACTAACAGAAGAAATGATAAACTGCTATAATTTATTTTTCATTTGCTTTATTTCAAATTTGTATATGTGGCATGATGTCAAATCAAATGACAAAAAGCACTAGCAAAGGACTGGGAGAAAGTTGCTTGCAATTACTGAAATTTATCGATGTTTACTACCAGGATATTTTTCTTTTTGAGGGTGGCTTTCCAAATTAAAGTTTTTTAAGAGACTTTATGGATTAGAAAACTGTTGCTATTTAAATTTGGCAAGAGAATAAGGTCTTCTTTAACTACCCCATTGCTTGTGGTTTATCCGGAACTGAAGGTGGGTCTGAAAACCTAGCTGGTCTCACCTGCCATATTTTTCTGTAATTTTAAATCTGTTGGGTTAGATGAGAGGGAACCCTGAAAATCAGAAAGCAGGGTTTGTTTGTTTGTTTTTACAGAGAATGGAGAGTAGCACACTACACAGGTGACTTGTGTTTAGATTGTAGGTTGCTCAATAACTGCCTTAGTTTGATTTACTCGGGTTTACCCAGTTCCATAAAAGATGAATCTTTATGCCAACCGAAGACATCCATTACATATTCACTCAATATTCTAATAATATTTTTAATCTACCATTCACAGGATTGCTATGAGTCCCATTCTACTCAATGGCACACCTAATAACAGTAACAATTCAAAATTACTTACTAAAAATTATGTCTGAATACATAGCAGGGCAAAGAAGCCCCTGTTAACATTCTCTGTTATGTATTTCACAGATACCACAAGAATTATTTCATTAAAACCCTTGAAATAACATTTGCTTCTACTACATATTTCTAACTTCATTTAGAGATACCAGTATCCATATCAATCAAGCCACAAAAGTACACATTATCCTTTTCTAGATTTCCTACTGTGCCTCAGATTTGACATCCACTTAATTAGAATGCACTGCCAGTCCCATCCCTAAATATACTTTGAAGCTATTTCATCCCTGTTCCTGCTTCCTAATTTGAAGTTCACACAACCAGTTATTAAACACAAAAGGATGACCAGAGTAAGCTTTCAAAGGCACATTATTGACGATACCTTTCCTCCTTAAAACTCTTAAATGTTCAAAATCCCTAGACCTAGGGATGCAAATCAAGACAACTATGAGATATCATCTCACCCCAATAAGAACAGCAAAATTTAACAGAACAGCTAGCAACAAATGCTGACGGGGTTGTGGAGAGACTGGAACCCTTATTCATTGTTGGTGGGAGTGTAAAATGGTGCAACCACTGTGGAAAGCGGTGTGGCGCTTTCTCAAAAAGTTGTAAATAGAGATACCATTTGACCCAGCAATTCCACTACTGGGAATATACCCTGAAGAGACCATAACTGACATCCAAGTAGATATATGCATACCCATGTTTATCGCGGCTTTGTTTACAATAGCAAGGAGTTGGAAACAACCTAAGTGCCCATCAACAAAAGAATGGGTAGAGAAGCTGTGGTATATTCGCACAATGGAATACTATGCTGCATTGAAAAACAAGGAACTCATGCAATATTATCCAAAATGGGTGACCCTGGAGGACATTATGCTGAGTGAGGTATCTCAGTCACAAAGGGACAAATGCTACATGGTGCCAGTGTTGTAGAATGAGGCTGGCATCGGGGTGGGGGTAAGGCTGAGAAAAACTGGATGAAATATGTTTACGACATTGAAGTCTATGGGGGAGAGAATAGTTTAAAAGTATTATATTTTAGGGCATTATGTTTATCGTAGGAGTACGCAATGAGGGTTGCAGAGTGGATTATATTTGGGATTGGGGGTGAGATTGGGGGAGGTACGGGGGGGAGTT